GGCAGCGGAGGGACCCTCCCCCGCCTGGAGCTCGGGCGAACCCCGGGACCGGCCCCCGCCTCCCCGCCCGTTTCTTCCCAATGTAAAGATGCCTCGAAACCTGGGATTTGGGGGGTGGCAGCGGCTGAGTTCCCCTCTGGCTTCAGCCTCGCTCCTTCCTTCCCCTCCCGCTGCAGAACGACCCGTGACATTTGAGAATTTTAATTAAAACCCCTGAAATTTCCAGCCAACGAATCAAATATCCGGGCAAAACTGAAGCAGAAGTCTCCTTTAAGGAAAAGAAGCTCTGACCCCACACAGGCTCTTCCTTGACTCAGACACCTCCGTTTCACTGTTTTTTCCCCCGACAAAGTGACAGGTGACAAATCCAGACTCTTATTAGTAAATTAGTAAATTAGTAAAATCGTGTCCTTACAAGGACTCACTCAGTCCCTTGAGAAACCCTCAACACGAGTAAAAAGGTCTCTGAAGGAGGATTTTTAACAAAACCTGAACACGAGCAAAAAGGTCTCTGAAGGAGGATGTTTAACAAAACCTGAACAGGAGCAAAAAGGTCTCTGAAGGAGGATGTTTAACAAAACCTAACAAGAGCAAAAAGATGTTTAACAAAACCTGAACAAGAGTAAAAAGGTCTCTGAAGGAGGATGTTTAACCGTGTTCCTCTCCAAAGGGAAGTTCCTCAGGCGTGGAGATGCCCGGGATCCAAAAAGAGCGACAAACGCCGGAGGCTCCCAAAAGAGCTACGAATTTTGATTAGTAAGTGCTAGGCTTGGCATGGAAACTGCGATGGTTTAGCCCCTTATCTTCTAGCAATAGATTAAAGAGTTAAAGAAAGGAGGGGAGAGTCAGGGAACATCACCAGCCCTGGCTCCAGCGCCGATCCGGGGTATCCAGGGTGTGCAGGGTCCCGAGGATGCTGATGGGGGCACCTTCTTATGGGTAAAGTTTTCCCCGCCCCGGTGGGATCAGGTTTCCCACCTCCCACCTAAATGATGGAGTGTGCGCAATCCTGCTGCTGGACCTTTCTGGAATTGGGTCGGAGGGCTTTGAGGGGATTGTGGTGATCTCGATGCTCTGCAGATCTCTCCGCTGTCCATCTCCTGAGTTTGCTGTGGCTCCGGGTCCTTAGGAGGAGCTGGAATCTGCCGTGTCCCCCTTCTCCAGCCACATCCTGTTTTATCCCGCTCCTTATCGGTGTTTGGGACGCAGCAGCAGCGCCTTAACTCCTCGGAGCCCTGGCTGCCACAACGGCACAGATTAGAACGGGATGGAAACTCGGGGTGGTGGTGAGAAGCAGGGAAAGGTCGTTCCTTACCTCCTCCAACACCCGCAGAATCTCCTGGAGCTCGGGGGTGGAGCGGACCATGGCTCTTGGCAAATGATCCTGTTCCATCTGATCCCGGGTGGATTTGCAGGAGCATCCTGGGGACAGGGGACAATCCGGAGCCCGAGGCCGGGAACTGCCCGATTTTCCATAACAAAAGGCGCAGTGAGGAACACAGCAGGAGCCGATCATCCCTCCAAGACTGAGAGGGGAGAAAAGTCGGGGGAGGGGGTGGAATTCCTTTGTTTGGGATCCCCCTCTGGAGGCACCACCTTGAGCTGTTACCCTTGTCGTTGTACCAAGATGAAATTGTAAAGATCCAGCTGCCCGAGGTTCTGCTAGGGGAAATCTGGGATGGAGTTTGTGAGGAAACCTGTGTGAGTGTGAAACCGTGGGATCAGGAGCCGGTCCCAGCTCAGGTGATGCTCAGCTCTGATTCCACAGCGGCTCCTGGAAATTTCCTTAACAGCCACACATCCAGCAAATGGAATCTTACCCATGCAGCAGGAATAATGGCCTGGACATTCACATTCCAGTTGGTTCTTATCAATTAATTTTAAAAAAATATAAATTTATAAACTTTATTAATAAAAAATTTTAATAGACACGGGAGCACAATATCCAGTATTAACATAGCAGGATGCTGGTGTAGAACCCGGAGGACAAAGAGTTAAAATCCCTGGAGCAAATGCTCCTGTGCCAAACTGCTCAGATTAATTTATGGCTCCTGGGTGAGAAGCAGGAATCTGCCAACCTTAACCCCAAAAGAATTCCAGAGGCTTCAGCGCAGGGACTCCATGCAGCACCTGCACTCCTTGATTTCAAATTAAAGTACCACAATGGCAAATTCCTGGCAGGAAAGGGAACATCTGGAGTTGCAGCTGAGTTGGCCCCAGTAAGAGCTGTGGGTGCAGCACCCCGGGCATCAAGGAGTTAAAGTGCTGCTGTGTCCCAAACCTGGCTAACAAGGGACAAGCTTGAGGCTGCAGAGAGGGACCCTCTGATATTTTCAGTCCCTTTGATTTTTCCAGTTTTGGGCTTGTCTTCCTCCTTTTCTTCCTTAACTCTTGCTGCAGCTGCTCAGTTGTCACTGACAGCAATAATTCACCTCTTTTCCTCACTTTCATTTTCTCTCTCGGGTCTTGTTTGTCTCTACCAAGCTTTTTCCTGTCTAAATTCTCAAATAATTCTCTTTCCCTGCATTCTGCTAAAGCAAATAGAGTCCCAAGCTGGGACAGCTCTTTTTTGGGACAAACACCTTTGGTTCTGGCTCTTGGGGTAAGCACAGCATGCACAGCACAGAGCATGGAGTGTCCAACAAAGGTGATCAATCTTGGGGGAATCAAAACCACCAGAGAACCCCTGATCCATTTCTAAAATGATCCAGAGGGATGGACTGTGTCTGCTGACTTGTTTGCATCAAAAGTGAAAAGAAGTAGCTCCAGGGTGTGGAAAATGTGGCTATAAAAGGGTGATCCAAGGCTCACAGGGGCACTTCTGGGATCCTGGACCTGTCAGGACTGGTGATGTCCTCCTCTTTGTCCCTCTGATCTCCCTCTCTTCTCCCTCTTTTCTTTTAAATAAGGGCAAAAATACCAATTCCCATGCTGAGAGTGGAATTTGGTATTAAAACTTGGCGAGCTTTTTTGGGTTCTTCTGACACCATTTTGACCACGGGCATCTACAAACCTTCTTTCCCCTTGGGAGTGGGACACACAGAGCTCAGGGAGGAGGCTGGAGAGCTACTCTACCTCCACATGACCTCCTCTCCATGATCCTGTTATCAGTGTTTGGGACCCAGCAGCTCGTTAACTCTGTGTTTGCCAGGTTTCTGCAGCATCTCCATGTTTTGCTTTCCCAGCATTTGGAAAATTGAACAAACACAGAAGATCATGAACAATGTGGGAAAAGAAATGCAACACAGCTTTAAGGCTATGCAAAATTTAAACCATATTCCAGGCTCACCCGGGCATTTTACAACTCCCAGGAAGGCTCTCACCCTCCAGGAATTCTCCCTTGGGGTTCAGCAGCGAGGAGCTCCAGGATTTACCAGTGGGAATAAGCTGATTCTCAGGCTCTGCAGCCTTCTTTCTGTTTGCCACAGAAGAAAGAGCCTTCCTCCTCCACCCACAGGGGCAGCACTTCCTTTCCCAAAGCATCTCACCCAAGTGGGCGCTTCCTGACACCTCTCACTCCTTTAGTGGACAATTAATACCTTTAATTCACTTGTTCCCAGCCCAGTCCAAGGACTCCAGACTCCTGGGATAACATTTTGGATAATTCTCCCTGTTCAGACAACTCTTCTTTGTAACACACGCCACAAATTGTTCAATGTCAACGCGGTTTCTCTTCCCACATGGACTCACAGCCAGCAGCACCTCCAGACTTCACCTCCCCAAATCCACAGGCACTGGTGAATGCTGTCTAACACGGAAAATAACCCCCAGCCACCTCCTTTTTCCTGGGATGGCTGCACCACAGCCTCCTCCTGCCAGCAGGGTCTGGCACAGAGCTGGGGGTGCCACCCTGGCCCAGCGAGGGGACAGCAAGGGGGCTGTGGGGGATGTCCTATATGGAATGCATCACAGAGTTCCTGCAGGACCAGCTGACCAGCGACACGTGGGTGTCCTGCATGTGACCTTCCTGATGCTTCAGCAGGCTCCTCTTGAGCACAAATCTTTTGCTGCAGAGAGAACACTGGAAAAGCCTCTCTCCCGTGTGCCTGCGCTGGTGGTTCAGGAGGTAATCCTTCCTCCTGTAGGTTTTGTCACACTTGGAGCACTTGTAGGGCCTCTCTCCTGTGTGACTTGTCTGGTGCCTAACGAGCCACGAATGGCAAACAAAGTTTTTCCCACAGTCGCTGCAAATGTAGGATTTACCCCGGCCCTGGCTCTGCTGCTGGGCAGGGCTGCCCCGGGCCAGGGGCGGCTCCCAGCAGGGGCTGGATCCCGATGTGTCCGTGGGGAAGCTCTCCTCGTTCTCAGCAGGTTCCTCTGTGCTCAGGCTGTCCTGCCTGCCTGTGCCCAAGGGATTCTCTCCACACTCAAAGCCTGGCCCCTCGAAGGAGGTGGGAGCAGCTCCCAGGCCCATTCCCGTCTCTCCCAGGCCCATTCCTGTCTCTCCCGGGTGTGGGTGCAGCAGAGGGAACATCCTCTCACACCTGGGGCCTGGAAACATCTCCCCTTCTCCCTGTGGAGCCTGAGGCTGCTCCTGCTGTGGGCAGTTTCTCTCACACTTGTACACACAGGGCTGCTTTTCCAGGCTCTTTCCCTGAGCACGAAAGAAATCGTACTGAGCATCACCTCCAAGGCTGTTCCCATTCCCTGTGGTGGCTGCTCCCATCATTTCTGAATTCCACTGGCTGTCCCATGTCACTCCATGGCTGGGATCTCTGGGAAACCCCTCTCCCGGCCTTCCTGGTACCTCTAAGTCACAGGTCTTGCTCTCTAAGCAATCTGCTGGATGGTCTCTTCTCAAATTTTCATCTGAAACAGAGATTTCAGAGATTTTTAATTCAGAAGTGCCCTTAGGAATGTCCCTCCCAGCCCAAAGCCACATCTTTAATACTGAGGTGGAAATGAAGTACCAGTATCTACTGAAACAAAATTTCCAGGAAAACAGAAAGACTTTTTTCAACTGTATTTTTTAAAATCTACATAAAACAATCACTGCTGCGGTCTCAGATTCAGCCTCTCACTCAGATAACAGAGTGATAACTCAGTTAACCATTAGATAACCCAGATAACTGTCCCACCTCAGTGCTCCCAGCCCCTCTCCAGACACTCCCCTGAGCATCTCCAGGAGCAGAGGCCAAGCAGGGCCCTGCAGCCAGCTCAGCAAGTCACAGAGCTATGGGATCTCCTGAGCTGGGAGACACCCACAGGGATGGAGCCCAACCCTCCATGGACACCCCAACAATCCCACCCTGTGCCTGAGAGCGTTGTCCAAATGCTCCCTGAGCTCTGGCAGCCTTGGGCCGTGCCCATTCCCTGGGGAGCCTCTTTGGTGCCCAACCACCCTCTGGGGGAAGAACCTTTCCCTGATTTCCAACCTCAACCTCCCCTCCTGAGCTTCTCAGAAGCACTCTCTGCTCCCAGGAACTCCTGCTGATTAACAAGCACCTGGTTTTTAATGAACAACCTCAGAAACCTATTTTTCTTGCCTGAGTAAGAACCCAACTGGAATAATATTTTTGTTCTGGAACTTTCAAAGAAAGTCACTGACTCAAAGCGCAGCCAGGATGGAAAATCACTGTGATTCAAGCCCACTTTCTGGTGACCCTAAAAACTGTGGTCCAAAGTGAGACACACTGAGCTCCCAATTCCCAGAAAATAAAGGAATGTGTATCCCAAACACTGATAACTGGATGGCCATGAAACCATGAGAAAGAACAAGATTTGGCTGGAGAAGGAGGGGCCGTGGCAGCAATTTCTGGGACAAACATGCTTCTTGTATCTCCTGGAGACAATCACAACACAGAGCAAAGGCAGGAATGAGGTCAAGAAATGGGAATGGATTACAGGGAGGGGATCAAGACCATCAAAAATCCCCAAAACTTCCAAACCATTTCCAGAAAGGCCTGGAAGAACTGACTGCATGGGAAGTGAGAAACTTGTCTTCAGGTCAGGGAATCCTGGCCATAAAAAGGACTGAGGGTGCCCTCCATCCCCTCATCCACATCAAACAGAATGGCCCCAGTACTGAGCTCTGGGGACATCCCTGGTGACTGGCCACCAGCTGATGCCACTCCCTTGCCCAGCATTCTGTGGGCCCAGCCCTCAGGTAGGTTTTTATCCAGGTAAAAGCAGCCCAAACTCGATCCACAAAGCCTGAGCACAGCTCTGGGCTTGCCTCAACACAAGCCCAAGGCAGTGCCTCTGACAGCTTTTGGCTGGCTCAAGGGGGAAGGAGCCTCTTCAGCTGACAGAAACTCAAACTTTTGTGATCAAATATTAACCAGCAGACTGAGGTTTGTCCCAGTTCTCTCACAGTTAACACTGTAAGGTTGTGACGTTTCATACAGTATTAAAAAATACTCAAAACTGGATTTACTGTCCCCAAAATCCCAGCTGAAATTCATTACTGACCTGTACTTGGATCTGCAGAGATTTCCTCTTTCTCCAAGTGCTGTTGCTCAGAGCAGGGTGGCTCCTCCTCTTGTTTAATCCAGGATGAAATATCCGTTGCATAAGTCTGAAATCCTGTTCATTGGGAAAAATTTACACAACTGAGAAACACCGGGGGAAGGCACAAAGCCTGGATAATTTGGGAATGCACAACGGTGACAAAGCATCAGGGGAGGCACACAGGAAGAGCCATTAAGGGGTAATTCCTACACTGGAGTTGTTGGCAGATCCTCACCTGTGTCAGGATCTCTCGGGAGGTCCTCACCCTCTGTGCCTGGCAGCTCCCTGGCATCCACCTCGCTTCCTTTCCTGGTCTGACTGGATACCTCAGGCTCGTAAAATCCTCTCTCTGTGAAGGGAGAAAGTCCAGGAGAAGTGTATCATACCTACATAGACTCAGGATTTCACAAGGATGAAAACCTGCTCTGGTCTGGGTTTTGTTTGGAGGTTGTTATCCCAAATCCAGCTCCCCTAAACCCAGTTTCTTAAGGAAACCTGTTGGAAAGGTCTAAAAATCCCAGCTGGATACAAACACAGGAAGCCAAGTACAGTTGCAGTGGAGCCAAACAGCACCACTACCTTTGTAAAGAGTGAGGAAAATCTGCAAAGCAGAGCAGCTGATTTGTAAAACAAAGAGGTTCCAAATGAAAGGGCAAAGAAGCCCTGGGCTCTGCAGCCTTTCAGAGGAGTCTTACCCAGGAAAACCCGGGAAGGGAAGGGAGGAGGGAAAAGGCAACCTGAAGGAATTTAGGGGAGGATGAAACATCTCCTAATCCACACTTGGATAAAAACCAGCCATGCAGCCACAAACACCAAAATGTCTGTGAGAAGGGGAAGGGGCAACACCAGCCCTCGCCTGTCAGGTCTGCTCAAAACTTCTTCAACATTTAGAATACATGAAAAGAGTTTAGGAGGAAGAAAATCCTCACACAACCTGGAATTTTATCCCTCTGTTTCATTTTCCCTCTGAGGTATGTAGTTACTCACCCGGGCAGGGCTCTCCTGGAGCTTCTGCAGCCTCCTCCTCCTGATCTGCAGTGCGCAACTCTTCCTCTTGCTTAATCTGGATTATGCTGTCTTCTGTTAACAGGAACCAGTTTTATTTTAACAGCATATAAAATTAATTCCAACTGTCAGCCCAGCCCAGGTAGATCTGCTCTGTTCTAGCTCACATTCCAGAGAGAACCTCCAGTTCTAGTTCTTGCTGACCAAGGCCTCTTTAACAGACCTGAAATCTTGGTTACAAAACTCTCAGCAGATGTTTGAGCCTGAGAAATTCACAAACTTTTCATGCAAGTGAAAACACGTTGTCCATGGCCCCAGGATAGGCCAGAACCACTTGAACTCTTGTCCTTGAGTTTTGTTTCTCTCTTGGTGCCCCTGGAGTTCTGCTGGTTTTTTTTTTTAATCCCTCTCAGTCACACACCACTTCTCACCCATCAGAGAAACACTCGTGAGAAGAGAATTTTTAGAGATAAAGTCATGAAATGTGGAATAAATAAAGCAAAGGAGATGGGCCAGTGTTTTGCACCTTTACAGTGCAGACCTGGCCAAAGGGACTGGGGGATTTCTGAGGAGAGGGTGAGAGGAATGATGGGTTGGTCTTTACAAACAAACGGTGGTTCTGCTGATAAAATGAAAGATCTATCACTGAGAGATAACAGAAACAATGGGATGGATTCCACTGATTGAGTAAAAGATGAAAGGGACACTGGGGAAACACCATAAGAGGGGAGTTTACATTAGGGGAGAATCTTGGGTATCAGGCATTCCGGGAAGTCTGTATCTCTCAAATACCTCAGCCTATGGGGAAAGAGAGAAGGGACAAGCGGCTGGGAAATTAGGATTAAAAGGAGGCTTCGACCTCCAAAAATTTGAGAAACCCCAGGGGAATGCCCCATGGCCTCTCCCTTTATTCTAATAAAGTAAAAGGACTCCTCTGTCTCCTTTTTGGACATAAATCTCTGGGTGTTTCTGGATTTGTTTTCATGACAAGGGAAAAGAAGGGTGTGATGGAGCATCCTGAAAAGGCTGGTGGGGATGGAATGCCTGACAGCAGCAGCAGGAAGATCAAACTCAGCACAGCAAATACCTTGGAGAGATGTTGGTGATAGAATCATGGAATTGTTGAGGTTGTTGACCTTTAAGGTCATCGAGTCCAGCCCTTCCCCAGCACTGGGGAGTCCCCAGGTGCCACATCCACAGGGTTTTTAAATCCCTCCAGCAGTGGGGAATCCACCCTTGCCCTGGGCAGCTGGGCCAAGGCTGGACAGCCTTTCTGGGGAACGAATATTCACAATTTTCAACTGAGCCTCCCCTGGCCCAGCCTGAGGCCATTCCCTCTCCTCCTGTCCCTGTTCCCTGGAAGCAGAACCCGATCCTCCCTGGCTGTCCCCTCCTGTCAGGGACTTGTGCAGAGCCAGCAATTCCCCCTGAACCTCCTTTTCTCCAGGCCAAAACACCACCCACACCCCAGATGTCCCCAAAACATGGCAGGTGCTCGCTGTCCCACCTCCCTCTCCCACCCACCAGCCCTGACACCACTCACCGGTGCCGGTCTCCTCAGGATTCCCTCTCACATCCCGGTCCTCGCAGCTCTGGGCACTCGGCCGGTTCCCGCCCTCCGCCGGGGCCTGGGTGTTGTGTCCGGCGGCGTCCGGCCCTGTGGGGAAAGGCGGCTGAGGGGCGGCCGGGAGGCACCGTGGGGCTCCTTCACTGCCCGGACACCCTTACTGCATCCTGGCTTCATGTGCACCTGCACCTTGACCCACAGCACTCCATGAAATCAGAGCTGTGAGGGATCGGGGTCCACCCAGAGCCATGAGGGAACAGGGTACTCTCCAATCCATGAGGGCCAAATCCCTCAGAGCTGTGAGGGATCGGGATCCTCTCCAATCCATGAGAGCAAATTCCCTCAGAGCTGTGAGGGATCGGGGTCCACCCAGAGCCATGAGGGAACAGGGTACTCTCCAATCCATGAGGGCCAATTCCTTCAGAGCTGTGAGGAATCGGGGTCCTCTCCAATCCATGAGGGCCAATTCCTTCAGAGCTGTGAGGAATCGGGGTCCATCCAGAACCATGAGGGAACAGGATCCTCCTTGGAGCCATGACGGAACAGGGTCCCCCTCAAAGCCATGAGGGAACAGGGTTCTTTCTGATCTATGAGGGCAAATCCCCTCAGAGCTGTGAGGGATTGGGGTCCATCCAGGTCCATGAGGGAACAGGATCCCCCTTGGAGCCATGAGGGAACAGTGGAACAGGGTCCTCCCTGATCCATGAGGGTCAATTCCCTCAGAGCTGTGAGGGATCAGGGTCCACCCAGAACCATGAGGGAAACAGGGTCCTCTCAGAGCCATGAGAACTAATTCCCTCCAAGCAGTGAGAGAGTGGATTCAGGCTAGAGCCATGAGGGATTTGGGTTCCTCTCAGAGCCATGAAAGACTGGGGATCCTCTCAGAACCATGAGGGATTTGGGATCCTCTCACAGCCGTGAGAGGTCAGGGGCCCTCTCAGAGCTGTGAGGGATCAGGATCTCATCTGAGCTGTGAGGGGCTTGGGGATCCTCTCAGAGCTGTGAGGGATTTGGGATCCTCTCAGGGCTGTGAGGGATTGGGGATCCTCTCAGAACCATGAAGGATTGGGGATCCTCTCAGAACCATGAAAGAGGGGATCCTCTCAGAGCTGTGAGGGATTTGGGATCCTCTCAGAACCATGAAAGATTTGGGATCCTCTCAAGAGTCATGAGGGATTTGGGATCCTCTCAGAGCTGTGAGGGATTTGGGATCCTCTCAGAACTGTGAGGGATTGAGGATCCTCTCAGAACCATGAGGGATTGGGGATCCTCTCAGAGCTGTGAGGGATTGAGGATCCTCTCAGAACCATGAAAGATTTGGGATCCTCTCAGAACCATGAGGGACTGGGGATCCTCTCAGAACCATGAGGGATTGGGGATCCTCTCAGAGCTGTGAGGGATTTGGGATCCTCTCAGAACCATGAAAGATTTGGGATCCTCTCAAGAGTCATGAGGGATTTGGGATCCTCTCGGAGCTGTGAGGGATTGAGGATCCTCTCAGAGCCATGAGGGAACAGGGGCCCCTCAAAGCAGTGAAGGATGAGGGATCCTCTCAGAGCTGTGGATTCTTGTGGATTCTTTCAGAGCTGTGAGGGATTGTGGTCCCTATCCATTTAGGTGGGAATTTGGGAAAATTCCTTCCTGGAAAGGGCTGCCCAGCCCCACCACAGGGTGCCCTGGGCAGTGGTGGAATCCCCATCCCTGAAGGGATTGGGAAGCCATGGCACTTAGGGAAAAGCCCCAGGTACTTGGGGATATGGGTTTGTGCTGCCTTGGCAGTGCTGAGAAATGGTCAGACTTGAAAGTCAGAGGCCTTTCTCAACTTCAAGAATTCCATGATTATGTGATTCCTGCAAGCATCACTCTGCCTGTGCACAGGGACAATCTCTATTCCTTCTCTCAGTCCTGAAGTAGCAATGCCTTTCTGTGTCACTTTACATTTTGTCTTAAATTCAGGGTTCTATTTTTGCAATTCAAACAACAAAGAAATCCCAAAATAGCTCAGAGATTTGCTACAAATACATGTATTTGTCGCTGAAATTTAGGAGAGCTGGGCTGGGACAGAGAAACTGTGACTGACTGTAAAATACTGTGTCATCTCCGATATCAAAAGCAGCTTCAAAAAGTGATAAAACATAGAACATGTAAAATACAGAAACAGCCCAGAAAGGGCACCTCAGGTTGTTTGTAGAATAATCCAGGAGTGCTGCTGAGATGACCCCAAATAGAACTGAGGACATTCTGGTCACAAGGGAATTGCAAACCTCTACTGCTTCATGGGGCCACAACTCTGCTTCTTCATCCCAGAATACATCCTGCTCTTATGGAATCCTGGAATGGTTTGGGTGGGACCTTAAAGCTCATCCAGTGCCACCTCCTGACATGGGCAGTGACAACTTCCACTATCCCAGCTTGCTCCAACTTTTCCTTGAATCCCTCAGGGATGGGGCAGCCACAGCTTCTCTGGGTTCTCTGTGCCAGGGCCTCCCAACCCTCAGCCAGGAATTCCTTCCTAATTTCCCACCTAACACAGCCCTCTGCCAGCACACAGCCTTTGCCTCTATATTATCTTGCAATTTAGGGCACTAACAATATTAAAAAAAATTGAAGCTATAAAATGTTTTGATCCAAGTTCTAACCGGACCAAAACACAAGAGTGTAACATTATCTCTTTCTGTACTAAAACAGCAAATCAGCTAAAATTTTAGGGAGAATTTGAAACTCATTTGTTCCTGAGTGAGATCTGACCAAGCAGATTGTGACTGGTTTCCGTATCCAACGATTAAATCCATGAGAAGATGAAATGCAGCAGGAACCCCAACAGTTCCATTGTCATGATACCATTGAGGCAAGGGATTTGATGTCTCCATGAAATTTTGATGTGAGATGAACTGTTGATTTTGTGGATTTCCTTGAGAGGGAACAACTCCATTCAAACCATCTGACAGACCACAGAATCCATGGATTCTTGGATAAGAGCAAGGTAAAAATGCCCTTCACAGCTGAGCATTCTGACTGAAACTCCAAATTTTATGCTAAACCAGAAAGGATAAACTTTTCTATGGGAAACTGATTTCTGTGTGACCTAAATAATAATGAGGTCATTATTATTTAGGTGTTTTGATTGGTTAATTCTGTTTACTTTCAACTTCTCTCCACCCTCTATATTTGGGTCTAAATCTCTTTATAAATTGCAATATTTTACCATTCTTGTGACAGCACTGATGGGAACCCTGGAGGGCAACAACCCCACTGAACTTGTGTTCCAGAACAAACAGCTGCTGTCAAAACACAAGTGAAATAAAAAAATACCTTCAAAACAAACCACAAACTAACCACTTTTTTCTCTTCCTGGACTCAACACATCACGACTACAGCACTGAAAAAATTTTGCTGGCTGTAGGATTGACGTGATCTGGGTGAGAATTGTATTGTGAGCTTGCTTACACCTTAATTTTTGACATTTTTACACTTCAGGCCTGTTTGGATCTTGGATACACACAGGAGAATCACTCTCCTGCTCAGGTTGCACCACAGTATTGAAACAAAATTAAAAACAATTGAACCCCATGTATTTCTTTTTGATTTGAGGTCAACTTCTGTCTCTCCATCCATAAGGTACAATACTACAAACTACCATGTACAGCAAGTAAAAGGATTTGAAAAATAAAGAAGATTGAAAGAAAGCATTTAGAATTTCACAGGCTTAATGTTATTTTTATTAAAAATCAAGTCTTTACTGCTGCAAATTTAATCAGCATTTTTCAAATAGACAGAAACAAGTTCCCTGCCCTGAATTGTTCTCAGCTTAATGATTCTTAGTATTCCAAGGGATTCATTCCAGGTATGGCAGTCTCCTCACCTGCACTGCCTCATCCTCCCAGCGCATTCACCTTCCCAACAATAGAGCTCTCCCCAGGCTTCCTGCCCAGCTCAGCATGGCTCCTGCTCTGTCCCCACTGCCCCTCCTGAGCCCCCACACCTCAGCACGCAGTGTCCCACAGCAGGAATGGCAGGGATTCCCCATTTCCAGCAGAACAGAACGCTTGGGATCGCTCAGAACTCACCCACAGCAAGCTCAGAAAACTCCACGCCCTCCATGGTGGCCTTTTCCTTTGCATACGGCTCTTCCTCCTCTTCCTGCTTCACAGTGACAGCAAAGCTGGGCTCTGGAATGCTGCAGTCTGCTGAGGAAAAGAGGCAACTCCTTTACTGGGAAAGAGGAAACTCCTTTACTGGTTATGGCAGTCCCACTGGACTCCTCCTTTGCTGCCCCAGGAAGTTTGTGCTTCCCCACCCACCCTGCTGCCACACACAACCTCTCCAGCCCTCCCATTCCTGCTTCTGGGAGCTCTGCTCTGCCTGCAGGGAAGTGGTTCCCCCTGTCCCCCCACTTCCAGAGGCTCCTCCACACCCTCAAGCCCAGGCCCTTCCACAGCACTCACCATGGCCAGGTTCAGCCAGGCCTGCTCTTCCCTCCTGGTTTTCCTGCGCTTCTCTGCTGTCCCAGCTGCTCACGTTGAGTTCAAACAGCAGAGCCTCTGCCAACGACAGGAATCAGGGAATCAGATCACAGTCCCAGCAGGGTTTGGGTTAATCTTGTTCCACCCTCTGCCATGGGCAGGGACATCTTCCACTATCCCAGATTCCTCCAAGCCCCATCCAGCCTGGTCCTGGACACTTCCACGGATCCAGGGACAGCCACAGGACAACCTGTGCCAGGGCCTCACCATCCTCACAACCAGGAATTCCTTCCTGACTTGCAATCCTAAAAATCAAACCTGTTACATTATTTTATCACCCTTTGTTACTCCCCCTGAACCTTCTCCTTTTGAGATGTAAGAAGCTTCCTCTGAGCAAACCAGGACCATCACCTTGTGCCAGCCTCTGTCTGATGCCAGCACCACACGACCCTCACCCAACAGGATAAAAGATTTAATTCATCCCTTGCCAGCACCTGGTTCTGCTGGGATCTCTCTGGGAGCCGCCTCCTCCTCACTGCAGGGTGCTTCTCCTCCCTGGAGCCGGGACAGGAGGGCAGGTTCGGAGATGACATCGTCTGACAAGGAACAGAGAAAGGAATGTCTCCGTGCTGCATCCACAGGGAGGAACACACCCAGCTGCGCTCCCCAAACCAGCTCCATCAGCTACAACACGTGGCTGGGCAGCACAGAGAGTCCTCAAACACAGGCAGCAGCCCCACTGCATTCCCACAAATCTGCTTCCCACATCTGGGAAAGATTCCCTAACCAAAAAGTGCTGATAACCGACCCGACAGCAACACTCACCCAGCAGGACCGGGGCTTCTCTTTTCCCTGTCAGCACCTTTCCATACAGCTCCCTCTGCCACTCCTCCAGGTTCTCCCACTCCTGAGAGGAAAAGCCAGTGGCATCGTTTTCCAACGCCGCAGTCGGGGCCTGAAATCCCAAAAGTGACACTCAGCACGGCTCCTGGAACACAGAGAATCCTACTCCCTACTTATCCCTGCTACCAGGCGTCAGGGAAAGAAAATTCCTGCCTTGGGGCATTCTCTGGACACTGAATAACAGTTTGGACCTTCGCTAAACTTTGGGAGATGAATTGTGTATTCCTCAATATTCTTACTTCTCCCTGGAGCCTGATCCCATTGGGGACCTCAGAGTGAGGAAGAACTTCCCGCTGTTGGTAAAAACGTGACAAAGCCCATCCTTTTGCAGGTAAAACAAAACACAGAAAACACAGGAGCCATCACTTCCCGCTTAGTGCCTTCCCACGACAGGCGACAGAAGAAATCTTGGCAGCGATTGTGGAACGATTTCCATGGCGGAAGGCGAGGTGCAGAGGAGCCTTTGCACTGTCCCCTTCCCTCCAGACCCCTTAAAGACCCATCCCTTACCTTGGGGACCTCCACGCCGGGGGGCAGCCGCAGGATCCAGAGATTCCTGTTCTTCAGGAGGTTCTCCATGTTCTCCAGGCGCCGCTGGAGCCGCCCGTACTCCTGGATGAGGGTGCCCAGCGCCGCGCACTTGCTCTCCAGCTGGTTCCCGAACTCCCCGACCATTTTCTCGCAGTCCAGGTGTTTTTTCTCGCTGTTGCCGGCCCGGTGTTCCAGGCTGAAGAGGCGAGACGCGTGTGCGGCCACGCTGCGCTCCAGCGCCTGCACGGCCGCCACCACGGTCCAGAGCGAGATGGTGCTGCCGCCCGCCAGCTCCATCCCGGCACCGGGAGAACCGGGACAGGCACCGGGGCTGCCCGAGGGACGCAGCGGGGCACCACAGACACCTGGGCCGGCCCGCTCCTTCCCGTGCCTCCCGCAGCGGAGAGCTGGAGCTGCCGGCTCGGAGCGGCCCTCGCTCGCCGCCGCTGCTGCCCTGCCCGGCCGCCGCCTCCCCTTGCCGCCAGGAAGCGCCGCTTCCTCTTCCTCCTCCGCTTCCGCTTCCGCCGCCGCCACAGCGGCCCCCGCCGGCCGGCAGCCCCCGCAGTGATTGACAGCTGTCAATCACCGGGAAAGGGCTGAACACCCAGCCAGGGGTTCCACCCAGCGGCGCTTCCCCGCGGGACACAGAACCCCAGAACTGCAGAATTGCAGAATGGAAGGGAGCGCAGTGGGCACCTGGTGGCACCTGGACCTCCGTGCTCCAGCAGGGCCGTCCCAGAGCACAGGGCTCAGGAAGACATCCCGATAATTCTGGAACATCCCCGGTTAGGGAGACTCCACAGCCTCTCTGGGCTCTGCTCAGGGCTGGGCACTGCCCAGGGCACAAGTT